GCCGATCTCGTTTATGATGGTTGCAAGAGACAGGGTAAATGAAAACTGAAGTGTGTGTTTTGTCAATTATTGACAAAAACACAGACGCTGCGCCGGCCAGGCACCATCCAGCGCGCGCGGCCGACACGACGCGGCTGGCCCGGCACGCTTGCGCGTGACCAACCTACGCATGTTTTGCCTTCTAAGAGGATTTCGATGACATTGAACGCAAGAGACAACTAAATTACTTTTATATAGATACGTTTTAAGAGAAAATAATAGTATTGGATATATTTCACGAGCCTGACTGCGGTCGAATGGTTTGTTTGCCACACAGCGTTAGTTCCCCAGGTGGTCGCTAGGGAGCGCCACTCTCAATCTCTCTCCCTCCACGCCCCCCCCCCCCCCCCTATATTTTATTTAATTTCATTTAATTCATTTACGTCAAGGGCGTCTTTGAGGATGCGTGAGCAGGACTTATAAGAAAACCGGTTGCCGCGGCTTTCCCCTCCACTGTGAAGGTTATAAATGATACAGTGTGATTGTATTATAACCGGTATTCGCACACTTCTAGTATTTATCGGAAATGTAGTAACATCTAAGAAGTTTTAGCAATATAACAATTTCTCATTTTATTCTATGCGTGTCTTGACCGTTTTTAAAATGTTCATCCTAGAACTAATAAGAAACGTTCTTAATATGGGCGTTTCACGTTGTTCTGTTTTGCATTCTTGTTGCAGTGTTTTGGAACTCAGTTTCAAGTTTGCGAGCAAGGACAACTCGTGACTGTACGTGAAAACAAGTTTGGTTTAAATTGTCATTTCTTCACTAGAAAATTGAATTTGTGTGTAATAATACTCCTTACGTCGCTGCCATTTCACAGGGAGGTGCTGTTCAGGTTCTTTTCAATGTGATCCAGGTGAGGGCTTTAGTTAGAGAGTTTTTATAATCACTATTAACACGCCTTGTAATATGTAAATTCAAGTCTATTGTTGAACGTCTTCAACACTTTGAATATAACTACCAATTCACAAAGTTTTACTATTTTGTTAATGACGGTCATAAACTACTGCATCCCGCTGTAACCTACGAGAGCAGTTCTTTTTTTACATATTGAAATACGTAAACATAGGACGTTTTTTAACCTTTTTGACACTTTAGTGAAAACTATTTGTGCCCTAAAGTCTCTAAGTTGTGAATCACAGTCATACGCTATAAGTGGTGATAGGTTAAGAGTTCAGTCCAAGCTCCTCCCACCTCTTTCCACTTCAGCAGAACGAACGCTAAAGAGGAGGTGATATCCCCTTCAGCGTTCGCTCTGCTAAAGTGGAAAGAGAGGGGAGGAGCCTACCCTGAATTCTTAATCCTTCACGGACTATACCGCGTTCAGTAGAAACATACGAGGTCTCTCTTTTCAACATCTCGAAATACGCGAATACAACACCTTTTGTACATCGTGAATACCTTCACTACAACTACTAGTTCACCGAAGGTTTTCTAATTTGTGAATTTCGTGGCGCACCAGTGCGCTCCGCGGTAACCTACGAGGAATGTTTTTGATTTTCAACATCCGATAATCTGGGTAAGAAAAGTAATGACAAATGTTTCGATATGCACGAAATGTTGATACGTACATATTTTGCCACATAATCATCACATAGATCAAGGCAGCTCTTATGAAATAGCACGACCTTTTGGATGCTCTACTCAACGCTGGTTGACTCCGGAGCTTTGAATTCTTCCAGTAAAATGGTTAAACAAATAAATAAGAGGGATACAACGTTTTTAGTATACACAACAACCAATAAACAAGAGGGATACAAAGTTTAATAAACACAATATAAAGAAACTTACACCAACTACTTTTCCACGTGATCAGCGCACACATTTAGTCTGTTATTATGGCGTGGCACAAGCTTACGGAACCTCTCCCCTAAGAATGTTGCAGAATAATTTTCTCACAAGTTCAACAAGACAGCCAGTTGCCACAGATGTCCTTCTCTGATTCCCATTATCAAGGAACGTTCTTCACAAAACGTCTTGGAGTTTCCTTCATACACTTTGCCCGCCTGTGTCATTTTATCAGGGGTCTTGCTGACCCCTGATAAAATGACTGAAAACCCTGGCTGCAACCTTCTTTTAAGGAGGGCAATCAAGAGCTTATGATCCTAACGCGGAAAGTTACTTTTCAGTGTGCGACCATGATTTGTGGAGATTTTTTTTTCACTCAAAAAGCTTTGAAAATTATTTTTACATTAAAATTTAAACTTGTTTATATCATAAAAAAATAACACACGTTAGTTCTTCTTGCGTTTATGTACATAAAATATGAGACGCATAAAGAAGGCGGTATTTACAAGCGGGTTTAGCGAAAAATAAATGCCAGTCTTGGCTTGTGAATAAGGTGGAGGTTTCGCTATCATGTCATGTCGGAGTCACTGTCACTTGACTGAAGCGACGCTGCGACTGTTTATGATATTAACAGTTTTGACAGTGGGGAGCCTGTCAAAACTTCGCGCCGCTTCCCAGCATCTATGGTCAAGCGCAATGAGCAAAGCCCATTTCCTTCCAAAGCAATTAGTTTATTTCACCGGCCAGCAAACGGAAATATACATCACCATGTTGGGCATAAAGTTCAATAGATGGCAGCACCTATAACCTCCATCTAAAATCGGCACGCATCTCCCAGTGCGCTCCCCCATCCAAAGAAAATGTCACGTGGTCTTTAGACGCGCTCTATTTCAAGGTCAAAATGAAGGCGCGTCCTCGATGCACTTCCCAGTTAAGGCACTGTCTAAACATGTGCGGTGATTATGCTGAAAAGTAGCTACAGTATTTATATGCATTTCGTGCGGATCAAAATATTTTTCATCACTCTTGTTTTCTTTACCGAGATATCCGGAAGTCAAAGGAAGACAGCCTCGTGTTTGAATTACTTGCGCGAGAGCACCTATATTCCATTGACGCTAATATGGTAGCACAAGAATTCAACACAGCACCCCGATATGAAACATTACAAACATGCATGAGCACTTAGAAATTTTATTGTTTAAGTGCATACTAGAACATAATTTAAATGCCGGCATTCAGGGTCCGTAAATAAAAAAAATCTTTGTTTTCCAGTGCCTTCTGAAGAATCTGAACGACGAAAGTTTTGGATCTATCCTGGAAAATATTACATGCAGCGTCTTTAATATCATAAACAAGATTACGGGGGCCCAGATCTTTACAAAATTGCTGAACAGAATTCTCAGAACGAATTGTGAGTGAAGTTACCTATTTTTTGCTAAGAGTGCAGACTATTTCCCTCGTGCAGATTAATAGAGCACACATACTTCTAAATAATGTGTAGAAAATATGAATTCCCGAGCAATAACCAATCTGATAACATAAATGCTCATTTTAAATGAGTCGAAACAAAGCTGCGAGATTTGATTCTGGAAGGTATGGGTATGATGAAAGCACAAGTTCAATCAAAAATGGCTTTCAATTTAAGCCACTAAATCTTCGTAGAAAATATCTTCGGTTAAGGCTAATCCATAACATATACTAAAACAAAAGAAGAATGGACAAATATCTATCGGATATTTGTATCTGTTCCATTTTAATTCAGAAGAACAAGATCAGGCCAACAAAATGAGAGAATTCACTTGTACCGATATTTTCGGAACTCGTTTTTTCCACGTATATATGGACATTAGAATTGTCTCCCCTGTAATACTGCTTCGTTGCTAAACAAAACTGCAAAATTCTTTTTAGCTGCGGTTTGCACTTTTTTAAAATAAAGTTTATTATGACCTGTATAATTGTTTGCATAATTGTCAATGCTTCTGTATTTTAACTTCTCGCTTTCCACCAATATTAGGCCTCCTGTCGTTGCAAGATAACTTAAAAAATAAAATATTAACTACATAAATAAATAAAAGAGGACTCGTGTGAAAAAATCAGAATTGCACAGCACGATGTTTTACTGAGCAAGTACCATTCAAACATCGACCCTTCCCTGTTAAAGAACCTTTCGAAAGTGGGGAAAAACAAAAACAAGGTGGAGTTCTCCATTTGGTTGACACTACTCGTAGTAATCGCTGACCTTGTATCGTCTAGGACAGTTTAAGAAACACAGGGCGTGTGCTGTTATAAACGCGATCTTGCTTCGTGATTAGTTGCTCAGCATTCTTATCAGACAATGCCGGCGTCTTATTGGCTCCAGAGCGATAATGAGATGCTCGGAATTCACCACGCCGTGCGTGTTTTAAGCGGACGATAAATGTAGCATACAGAGTCACTTGAAATCTCTCACCTGTTTCGCTTCCCGAAACTAGAGAGTGAACTAAAGATACAAACCTTTCCCTACGTATCCGTTCTTGAATTAAGTAGCTTCATAAAAACAAACAAGAAAAAAAGTTGAAAAATGAATGTACGTATTTTATCTACATTTAAAAAATACAAGTTTTATATTTAACCGAAACTTACGTATTTCCAAAATGGTAGAGCTAGATCAAAGCCAGACAATGCAAGACGTATTCCCATATCTCATAGGTGTTAAGTATGGTGATGTTTCGCCAAGGCTGTAATTCAAAGCCATATGATTTAGGCAATTCAATGAGTTCAAAGCGATAATTATGCTTTCTGTAGCTATGGCTTTGATAAAAACTTCGCTGATTACATCTAATTGATATAAAATGTCTTAGTTTATGTTTTGTGTATTGGGTTGCGTTGAGCCTAAACAAAAAGAGTTCCAAGTCGGATCAGCTTGAAACTTTTTTCTCCTGGATTTAGAAAAAAAAAGAAAATCAAGTTGATAAATATATACCTAAATATAAGAGTTTTATACTGCTCAAACTCTGATCAAAGGCAAAACACCACGGAGTGTCTAGAACATTCCGGATTCAAATCTAACCACTCATTGCCACAGACGGAGCCATGTACCTGATAGATATCGCGGGTCATAAAAAAGTATTATATTTTTTTTGAGAGTGATTATTTATGAATCCTGAAGAGTCTCCTTGTCTTTTTTGCAGGTTAAACACGGATCCCGATGACTGCCCACCAACACAATGGAGAATTAACAACGACTCCTCCTAGATTGTCTCTCAGTTTTACGTTTGCGCACCTGGCTCGGGGTAGTTTTGAGTGTGGTCTTCAGTAAAGGCTGATCTAAGCTTAGAGCCGTTCAGACACGGCACGTTTTCTGCAGTCGGTGTACCTGAGGTGGATGAATATCTTCCGCCATATCCGTTCGCTTTGCGACGTTATTTTCCTTAAGATTTTTTTTTTCCGGCATGCGGGCTCGTTTAGCCCGCATCACCACAGCCTCTGTCGCTCGCATACTCGCGTCGGCTTGCTGCTTCTGGCGCCACATTTTGGCCAGGCGAGCTAGGCGCTGTTTCCGCTTTTCTGTCTCGTTCGCCCGCCCTGCACGCTTCGCAGCGGCATCCGGTGCCTGACGCTGCTTTCGCTGTGCACCGGTTTCCCGCGCGCACATTGGCTTCCGCCTCGTGACGTCATCTCCCTCTCCACTTTGACCTTCACTACTCTCTCCCTCTCTACGCGGCGCGCTTCCCTTTCCACTGTTTTGTCCACAGATGGACGGCGTCAGCTTTTTTCTGCCGTATAGGCGTTAATGCTAACGCATGAAAAGCATCGAAGCGAAATAGGTGACGGCGTCTCACGCGAGTTTCTGATTCCCCGGTGCGCTGTCACGTGCCTCGATCCGGCTTTCTCATTGGCCCACCAGCCCTGTATGATCCAACTTTTGGCGGGATAAGCTGAAATGGAGCGTAGCAAAAGAAGCGTGCCGCCGGCTCGTCCCTGCAGAGCGGCGCTGTCCCAGCCATCCCGCCGTCTGGAATATAGACCTACAGCCAGCTAGGCGCGCCCCTTTCGTTTTTGCTTCCCCGCTCCTTTCCCCGGCTGCTTTCGCGAAGAAAGTAATCAAAGTGGGGACGGTGTACTGTCTGCAAATGTTGATGCCATTTCAAGACCATCGCTAATGTTTCGCTGTAATAATGTTAAAAAATAAAATGTTGAACCGATATCACATATCGGTTACCGGTTAAAACATTGCGGTTACGGTTAGTGTAAACATCGAATTGAAATATATTTCTTGTTCCGGTTATGGTTACCAATTTTTTTTTTATTATAAATGGTTGTCGATTTGCGTTACGGTTACGGCTTCAGTCACTGACTTATATAAAACAAAATTATGCAGGGATGTCTCGTTAATATGGACACCTCCGTTCCCCCCAAACATCGTCCATGATGTGAGTTGTCCATAATAACGGGATAAAAGTGCCTGTCTTTTTCTCGTTTGTACACGAAAGTGGTGTCCTAATAGCGGGGTATCCACATTAACGGAGTCCATATTACCGAGACCTGACTCTTTAGGTGCGATGGCGGAACCCCACTGTAACTCACCCACAACGGCTTTATGTATTACGGTGATAGGTCGTGCCAGGTCGTGCCTGTCTCTTCCCCTCCATCTCCATCGCTCTCTTTCTGTCTTATATATATATCCCTGACTTATATGTAGAATAAAAACATATTCAATCGTTTTCTTACTGCGTGATAGTGTTTCGTGGCTAGCAACAATCATTTCTTCGCGAAGATCACGATTATGGCGCAATAGTTGACGGAAGTAGCAGGCGACACTCGTCGCCAGTTCTGGCAAAACGGCCGATACGATCTTTTTTCTCATTTCCCCGCTCGCTGTCAAGGATGGGGGAGGGGGGGGGGGGGGGGCTCGTTTCAGCCGGCAAAATATGGCCGCCGATGCCTGTTTACTGAGCAGTAGTGCCTGTCGCCATCCCATACGCTGGTGTCACGGGCGATAATATCAGGCACAAAGAGGCACACCGACAGACAGCAAAACCCCCAAATACTCGAGCCCCACCTAAATACAATAAAGCCTAAACACTGTCGCCATGTTAACCTAGGAAAGGTTAAAATGGCGACACTGTTTACGCTCTAGATAAGGAAAAGCATGGCGTGTGGTATGAGCAGGACCCTTACACGAGGTGCAAGGTGGGCCCTGAGAACGTGTCTGCTGCCCTAGAGTGCTTCACGAAAAACGAGCTACAATGTTCGCGCCAAGGTCCCAACCAGAAGAACATGATCTCTGTGATGCTGGACGGGGAGAAAACGTTCGTGCCAAAGCGCTACCTGACACGCTCAATCCGAAGGGCCATTCGTGTATACAAAGGCAAGCACCCTGATTCCGGCGCTGGGCTAACAAAATTTTATTCCTTACACCCTAGATGGGTCAAGTTTATTCCACACCAGGAAGTGTGCGTTTGTGTGCTCTGCGCTAATTATTACTCTTGAATTCCCTCTGTAGAAAACGTTACAGGCTCAACATTCAACACTGGTGAAATGAACTCAACATTTGTGTGTGACTCACTTGCAAGTCCGTCTTTAAGGAGACTGTGATCACTGCCCAACTGGCCGGTCTCTTACAATCCAGGAACTTCATACCCCAGAATATGAAGAGATTGTGATTACAACCGGCGACCTTGTGAAGAAAACCGCCAAAAACATTGTACCCTGAGACATTCCTAAAAGTCGCTCAAGTAACGGTTCAATGTTAGATATTTCACAACAATATCCGACAAACGGAAGATAAAGCGATCTTGATGCAAAGCAGTGGATGCAACGCGGGAGCATTGTCTTTTATTTTGACTTTGCTGAAAACTGGACCATCGTGCTTCCTGACAAAGTTCAAGCATACCACTGAAAAAACAAAAAAACAAAAACAAAGCAAAAACATGATATTTACATGTATAGTGACGGCAAGAAAATCTAGAAATAGCATTGCTATCATCAGTGAGGACCTGTGTGACGCAGCCGCTCACACGTGCTTGGCTCTAGAAAAAGTGAGAGTGGGCTGAAGACAACGGTGTGGTATACTCGCACGTGACGTACTTAAGTAACGGGGCCGCCAGTCATTTTAAGAATCGCTACCAGCTTCACCAGTTTGCACAGAACGATTGCCCACAAGCCCAGTGCTTATTTTTTGCGTCTGGACATGGGAAAATGTATGCGACGGAGTTGGCGGACTTGTGAAGCACCAGGCAACGCTGAGCAACCTGAGAGAACGTTTCATAAACGCATTTCAGACGGCCAGAACAATAGTGAGCGTTCTATCCAAGAAAATGGGTGCATCTTGTGTATCTGGACGAAAATAAGGTTGTTAGGTATCGTCAAAAAAAAAAGAAGAGTGGCTGACGGTGCGAGCCTTTCCTGTCATTCAGTCTTGGCACGCGTGATGGCTGTGTAAGCCATCAACAGAAGGAACCTGTGACATACATGTAGCACGGACAGTCAGATCTTGTTAGGAGAAAGTTCATTAAATGGGTACATCGAGGAAAGCCTTAGCGTAAGGTGCCAAATTTGATTCCCCAAGGACTGCTCATTTTAAATGCGGGGACATCTTATTTATCACAGTTTTCTTCGCGGGGTATTTAACCTACTATTTTACTTGGTGATAGCTTACCGTCTTTATTTGATCACCATGCGATAATCACGAAACATTATCCTTGCGCAGGATAAAATGTCTCGGCTTGCCACGATCCATTCGTACACCGAGATTGTCCAATCTCTTACAGTCCGGCGCTGTGGCATCCCTCACCTGAAATTGTTCGTCCCCGCAAATACACATTTAACCTAAACAATTATAATATTCCATCTTCATTTTTGTATGTGGAAGTAAAGTTATATCTTTTATTCTAAATATAAAATATACCGGAAAGTAAAACTTCACACTGCATCATCTTTTTTCGAATCACTAGTCTCTAATATGACACCTCATTTTACGCTGTATGTAAAATGCTGTATCTAGTTTCTCCTCACTTTTAGTGTGTGACCGATTGCTCTAGTTGTCAGTGACCTCATCTGAATAAAAATATATGAAAGATGTGTGTTAGTTTCATGAAACTGGAGCTCAGAGTCACTTCTCGTATGCTAAATGTAGGCTTTGAAAAAGGACCCTACTTTGGGGAGTTATGTCTTCTTTCTCAATAAAATAATGTGACATGTTTAATAGAAATGAATCCCGAAACAAACTATGACAGGGTAAACAAATTTTAAAACAAATATCGAATTTTTTTTTTATAATTTGCATCGGAGTTTTTTGTTTTTTGATTTTTCCTTATGTTTGCCTAAATATATCTTGAATCTCGTATTACTCAAATACCTAATATATATTTTAAAAATTAGTCATATATAAGCAGAATACTATCTGAAGGGCATATGATGATAATTAAATTATTTTATGAGATACAGGCCTCCAAAGTTTGCCATTCGTTGTTCGAGCAGGCACGTTTGGGAATTTAAACAAAAAAGGAATATGATTTAAATAAATATAAATGCTATATATTACAAGCAAGTTGTACTAATTGTTTGTTTCTCAAAAGTATTAGAATTCTTCTAAATTTATCGTTTTTGTTATTAACCTTCAAACTTGCCCCCTCCATCAGTGCGCGTTGATGCAACTGTCCACCTTCTCATGCCTTACGATTTTTCCTGTTCCCAATTTTGTTTTGTTCTGGTCAAAACTAAGTATGGTTTTGTTTATACCAGACACTACACAATGGCATATAAAAACATCAGTGGATTTAAAAAAGCTGACCAGCCACCCTTTGGTCAATCTTCTATGAAATCACCCTACTTCGAAAAACGTGAATATTGCCGCCTGATAACTTTTTCGGTACTGTTGCGTCTCGTTTATTTTTCTTGTGCCACTGCTGTTTGGGGGCCAGGGACTCGTCAGGCTGCTGGAGGCAGCTTTTTTCCTCGGTTTCCCTTCATCATTTTGATGATGGAATATGAACATTATTATTATTATTATTTCCAAGTCGCCCAACAGAACCTGAAAAAATCTCTCACACAATTATGTGTTTACAACGTAATGTGCGTCAGGAGCCCACCGGGGTCAGGAGAGATCAACAAACGATCGAAGAGAAGCCACCGGCGCCGACGAAGCGCGTAGCAACAGCGCATAGTGTCGACGTTTGCTAGGCCTATCCGCTCGACTAAGCTGTCGACAGAAACATAGCGACGCTTTACCAGATTTCGG